CCTACCTGATGAGCCCCAAGAAGGGCGAAAGCGGTCGTGGGCTGTCGAAGAGTTTTCAGCAACCTTGTGAGTAGTTTCCTTTATGAAAAAAAGCATTGAGCTCTCTTCCTATATGATAACCGAGTGGGACCCGACGATCCGTGTGGAATCACCCCAAACTGGTAGGACTTGAAGTCTAAGAGCTTTCATGGGATTATACGCTGTTCGATAACAATTCCCGATGGACTGGATGACTTCTAGGCCACTCTTGGACTGTTTTCCTGCCTACACGTGGGAAATCTGTCAGGATCTCAGATGTAGCGCCCGCTTATGAATGCACGGCAGCCATGTCCTGAGAATGAACCACACCTAAATGAGTTGACAAAGGTGTAGTCGATAAATAGTGAAGAAATCGTTGCACCTGAATAGCCAAATGGTCGCACCACTCAAAAAAAGAAACCTACAAAAATGAATAAGGGACGTCCTGTGTGGCGAACTCAATGCGTATTTCTGATTAAGGTAAGAAAAATTCCCAACTAGCGCGTCGTGTTATTGTGTGTCCTGAGGTATCAAGGCTACGCCATATAGGCTCCGTCACACAATCCTGCAATTAAACCATTCCAGATAATAACACGAAAAACTCACAGTCCCAACTGTTTTCCATCCCTCTAGTGAGTCTACCAAGGCTCTTGCTTCATCCTCACTTGGGCCAACCGTTCCTCGGCTATGCAGTCCACTTGGAAGGCCAACTTCAAAACGTTGACGCAGAGCTGCATGTTTTACGTCTTCAACGGACGCGTAAGCATGGCAATATGAAGAAAAAGAAATAATCAAGAACTGCTTATGATTGTGTCGGGATGAATACATGACAAGCAAAAGTTCCTACGAATCAATGACAGTGAGAAGCTGCGACAACCGAGGAACCGTTCTCAAGTCACAATAAATCCCCCACCCTCGGTGCAGATCAAAAGATGCGTAAGTGTTGCAAATAAGTATACTGATACAGCGAACGTGGAGACAAGCTCTCTTCCGGAAGACCGTCAGTACGCTCCGCACAACAATAGAAACTTTTAACAGGTGTCCCCTGAACAAAGCCTAAATTAGAAGACGAGCTCACAGATCCCGATACCAAAGATCACCATCATTAATTTCTGGAGATTCGGTATGTTGTCCACGGTAATTTGATGCGGATAAGGTACTCGGTTGAAAGCGGATGATGTCAGTACTTACAGCACAACTGGCTTAGCAACAGCCCGATCTAGAGACAGATTTGTTGCGGCGCTTTCTAGCCACGCAAAGCATTACTCTGCATCAATATTTTCCGTTTTGCTCCTGAATAAACAAGAAAAATCTCACAACAACTTGTTATTAGTTGATGCATGTCGGATGAAATGGCGTTGTCATTCACAAACACTGGAGGTGTATTTAGACGATTTCCTTCTTCGACCCACAAGGGGAACGTCTGTTGGTATGACTCACTCGGTTGGATTATCAGTACGGAATGCCCTTTGTCCGGCAGAAGGTATGTTTCATGCAAGAGTTTCTCGTGCAAAATCGAACCAATTTCCAAAGCCTTGGAATCGTCATCTAAAACGGAGTAAATATTAAGTGCTGTCCAGACCTTGGTGAATGAGTTATAAACAACATAAACTCGAGCAAACAAATGAAAATTCAACCGCAAAACCACGCCCAATCATCAATAGCTCCACAAAACTCGGTTTAAAAACAGCAAGATACGGAACCAAACCAATCTGAAGTCTAAGGCAGTATTCGTGGAATATCAAGAGTGCGAGACAATTGTCAAACCACGAACAAATTTCATGGTAATACTCATGTTACAACCCTCTTCTTGAAATATAACAAAAGATACGCCTCAGAGAAGACGGGTGCAATTACATCCCTGTCAATTCAAGACTATCTAGTAGCTAGCATTAAGTGCTCGAACCAACGAGCTACCCAGCCAGCCAGAGCATTTGACCATTATCCTGTACAGCAAAGGTAGTGGGGGGAGCAGATCCTGGCGTCCTTCCCCAAAGGCGAAAGGCGTATTGGTTCACTATTATGCGGGGAACTAAATTCAGTGTTGTGTGCCATACTTTTCGCATGCCAAGTATGAACAACTGAGTGTGGGTTCGAAACAATTGGAGGGTTGAAAAGACCCTCTCAGCAGAGACCTACGGTTTAAAATCCACCCGGAACTTTTCTATTCCTCCTCTAAAAGCTTGGGCAATTCAGTAATACATGGGCCCGAGTCGTTATTCACAAAACAATGAGCCGCGCTTCACTGGATCGGATAGCCATATATGAAAAAGGGCTTTAAGGGCGAAAGTAAGATATAGTTGCGAAACATTACTACGCATAACTAAATGGAGACAAACAAAGTGGATTTGCTAAAACAGGCTGACCAGAACATGTAAGCGGACAGTCACATGGGAGAACGAAACCAGCCACTGGTGAGTTGTAACCCAAACCCTATCTGCAAATCTTTCCATGACACAAAACCATGCCATCATCTGATCAGCCCGTCGTTTCTAGTCTGGCTGAGGATTCGTAAACGCTCGATGAAAAAACTTCTCATTCTATCTTGACATGCAGAGAACCTGATCACCCTCGGTGGGCTGGTTACCAGATGTACATTCATCCCCTTATCACGCGCACGTTTGCGCGAAAACTGTGCTAACACTCGATCAGTTGGCTCTGAAGTGACTAGTTGGGCTAAAACCAAGAGGTCACCATCACACTTTCCGCGGAAGTGCGAGGTTTCTTAACTGCAAGCACTACGTGACTTCTCGTGTTCCTTTCGAGTTGCACAAAAATTGCACACTTTTGGTGATTGTGAAACTCTGTTCCAAGCTTCGTGGGCAGAATGTACCAGCTCCCACTAGGATCGGCACGTATGTTCATTCGGCACACCGGTCTCACCTGTCGATTAACGTGTAGACTGGATTAAAAATTTTCCGGTGCGTATAAGGAGCATGCTAAACGCTTTTTATTCTTATTTAACCATTACGGTGTACAAATGTACGGCGACGGCTCATGGACATGGTTCACTACGTCTGCTCAATCATACCGCTTCCTTGTCACGTATGCCTCCCCAAGTAGCGTAAAATTGGCGAGCTTAAATGGACTGTGTCAATTATTAACCCCTTTAAATGAGTTACCATCTATCGTCTACCGCTCTCCATCATGAAGAAAGTGGATCTTATCGTGTTGTGGCGAACATTGTGACCCACTGCGCTATTCTCAGGTGTCCGTACGACACTTGCAGTCTCTCACCGTCTCACAGTCTACTGCTGGGCCTCTCTTATTTCTCTTTCACGTATTTTCTTCTCTCTCTCACCCCATGAAAACCCCGCTACTCACAGGCTTATCTGTTAGAACAGACGACTCCTTTCGTCCTGCATCAGTTTTGCAAGCAACATCCGCGCGCCATCCGGGGTCCATAACTCTTAGACACCTCGAAATCAACCTTCAAGCCTCAATGCCGCCTCCATTGTTCGCACTCTGAAGAAAGCGAGACAACAAGCTGCTCTTGCTCTCTCACTGGACTCATCATCATCATCATCATCATCATCATCAACAGCATGACATCAGTGTTCAACACCGATGCTTCACTGCCGTACAACCATCACTTATTTGAAAGCCTTATTGTAAAGAAAAGAATAAAGGTGGACGGGG